TTTAATGGCACACAAATTTAAAAGATGGTGTTAAGATGGAGTATAATCTTCTTTAATTTCTTTCTTTTTTTACTCTTTTGCAGACAATAGTAGAGAAATGTAAAATTTGTATATTTCAAACACTTATCAACTATTTCTTAGTTTACTGCTAGTTCCCCGAGACAGGATTTTGAAATGTGCATTTGACTACAGAATTGCTTAAAGATGTAGTTCAATGTCTTTGCAATACAACTGCAGATACAACAGATTTAACATATTATAATGACACACTTGTTCATAAAAAAGTATGTCATATTTGTGTCTCAAAGTAAGTGAAGTAGAAATACACAGGTAAAATGAAGGAAATTAATGAGAACCAAATGCTCAACATCAGTTAATAATTTTTTTTACTTTTCAAATGCCAGGATCTTATCTACATGGATCTTATCTACATGCAATTTACACTAGCTGAAATCAAGTAGATGGCACAGAATTATATTCAAGTTACAACCTTCAGAATTGTTATAAGACCAGTCATTCTGAAGATGGAGGACGTTGCCTATCGTAAGACCAGGTATTGTCACATCTATGAATGCCACAGTATATACCATTAAGTAATGTGTAAAGGTTAATAACTCCTTTGTTTATGGAAACCCTTCTCATACTTAATGATAGATGTTTCTTGTGATAACAACCAGTCAAAATACAAAAAATATTACACATAACTAGAGAGAGAAATCCAGATTCACCTGGTTTAAATTACCCCCAATTCAAAGTTCAGTGATTTTCATTGGTTAAGCACACGGCAAGGCAGAGAGCTGGGCAGCTAGAGACACTAGTCGCAGCAACTTGACTGGATCTGGGGATTTCTGAAAGTTGGCCAGTGAATCTACTGAAGGCAAATATGCCCTGTGCCCACGAGTCACTGAGAGCTGTGGGTTGTATCACCTACCCTTGCTGTGCTTTGGTCAACCTGATAAAAACAGCACATGTATTCTTACATTATACTGCAATTGTCACTGTTGGTTGTTGTGACAATAAACAGTATTTGTAAAACTGTCATTTAACTTATTTAACATTTATTTCACATACTATTAAATTGCAAGATTTCAACACTCAGGATGACACATACATTGAAGTTCAACGTGTAAGGCATAGTTGCTCCTTGGGTTAGTCACCAGACAGCTGCTTCTATCTTCATCATTAATTTTTAACTCTTTAAATTACATAGGACTCAAGACCTGAATGGTTCAAGGGACTGTAATATGATGCAGTGTCTTGCAAGTGTTAGGTCTTGTTAACAACAAAAAGCTAACGTTATCTGCAAGCTCTTCACATAATGCAATGTGGGTGCCAAGGCAGCTCCTAGTCCATAGCCAAGTGGTGTATGTACCACTGAAAAAATGAACAGGGCATGGCCTGAGCATGTGTCCAGAGAACAAACGGGCCTAGAAGCCCAATATGTTCTGCCCTCTAGTCCTTCAACACAAACCATAGTAGGAAGGTGTGGGGACTTTTCGAGTTTCACTTTTGTCACTGTATATATACTTTGCTGTCTAGAGCTATCAGTCCATCAACTTCAGGTATGTATGACCTGCACAGTAAATTTTACAAGACAGAAAGAAGAAAAACTACTTATTTCATAGGAAGACTGAGCCCTCCAAACTACCTACATAAAGAACATATACGTTCCTGTACATATGGGCTTTCTATCCAGCTTTTAATTTATCTAAAACAAGATGCTAGGGTGACAACTGAGTACCTTCAAGTCTTCACTGGATAATGGTTATGTCAACATGTTTTGGATTTGCAGAAACAGTTGGAAGTTTTTTTGTTTTGATTAAAATGAGAACAGAATACAAAAGGACAAACAATTAAATTTACAACAAATTGTTGTTTATCACTGCACAATTTAATAGTCTCAACCACACCAGCAAAGGATTTTTGTAAAATGTTTAAATGGTTTCTTTACAAAAACACTAGAAGTATGCAAATGACTTCAAGGCAAAAAAACCCTACACTAATATTTTTCAATAATGCCTTCTACTGAAAGAGTTGAAAGACATTTGTCAGCTACGATTTGAAGTTTAAGCGGGTAATACTACTTGCTACAGGGACTGGTAAATGACAGTGCTGAGGATATAACACCACGCTTAAAAACTGGATGCCATTTACAACCAGTATTCAAAAAAGTGACTTGATTTTCAGAGCTGTTAACTCCTGTGATGCCAACAAGAGGAGCTCAATACGTTTGAAAGCAGGCGGTTTTGATTATGCACCAGAAATGCTGGATACAGATTCAGGCACCTCGGGTGTACCCTCCTGAGATCACAGACACTTCAGCCGAGGGCCTGGAGGGGGCTGTGACACCGTGCTGCCTGCTCTAATAGAGTGACGTCGCTCAGAGAAACAAAATGGGAGAGACAAGCAGGCAGGACGTGAAAAGGCAGACACTGGCTGACAGAAAGGAGTAGGAGCTATTTTAAAGATTTTTTTTTTTCAGAAGAGACCCTAAGTAGGTGAATTCCTTAATTACGGCCAGGCTTTGTCAGTGCCGTACCTTGGCTCCCAAGGGACAGACCATCCCTTCCCACGACACCTTGCCGGCATGGTCAGAGCTCTCTACCGAAGTTGTAAAACAACAAGACTCTGACCCACTGAGCAAAATATCCATTCTACACCATCAGAAAGTGAAAATTCCTTAGAAATAACCCATTGGTTCACTCTGCAGAAGCAGCGGTTGCTGGAGGCTCACATTGACTTTTGAACAGGGAAGGGTTTGGAAAGTATTTGCTCCTGCTGCATAATCTGTTCTTAATCACCGGAGGTGCAGAAATGGTCACTATAATAACCACCAACAAAAAGAACGTAAGACTCAGATTCTGCACTGGTCACACAACTCAGAGCCCACGAGGAGCTCCAGAGATCAAACCAGCGGGCGGAAGCGGGAAGCAATCCGTCACGCTTCGCACCCAACCCATCACGCTGACCAATGCTCAGTGAAGAAGCACGCAAGTACACTGCCGCGGCTCGCCCGCAGACCCTGCAGCCACACACCCCTGCTCCGCGGGAACAGTATCACTGTGCACGACTTATCACGGGGCTGGAAAGAAAATGAGCAAGGAAGTTTTATCTAGAATTCCTCCAAAACCCTATGAAAAGCAAAAGCTGTTTCTCTGTCAAAAGTTAACGCTTCTTTTGATATATTTTAGTTCATCCCATATATTAGTTTATTATTCCTCTGTTGTGTTGGCAGAGTAAAAGCTATTATCTGTCAGGTGAAACCTAGTAAATTTTTCAAGGATAACATAATGATGCACTTAATGGTAATCTACAGTCTACCCTTGACA